GTTCCTTCATACTTTCACTCAGAAACCTCATTCCAACTTTAAAATGTTACACATCTTTCTGACATTATTCGTGTAACACAACTTTTAAATCTGATTCTTACTTTTAGAGATATTAAACATTGTTCAGACCTTGTTTTAGAGGTTTTCTTCACATTTAACATTAACTAGAGTGCGTGATGTCACAGCTAGAGTGTAGGAAATCTTGAAATTTGCCTTCATATTTTTTTTAAAAACTGCCATAATTTCCAAACCCTGCATTCCTGAGGCATAATTTGTCATGACAAACGTAGGAAAACATCTCGTAGCTTGAAAAATGACAAATAATTAAGCAAAAAATAATTATACAAAATGCCTCTTGAGGGCATGAAGTGACAAAAACGTTCAACATGTCTCCATTAAAGGCTGATATTTCCTCACGGCAGCAGCCACACACCTTTAGTTAAACTGCCAAAAAGGCCACATTATTGACCCGAAAGTACATAAAAAGCACACTTCAGATATTCAAGGTCCTTGAGATGCTTCACGCTTTGAAATTTCACCGATATCTGTTATGGTTCTTCAACAAAACGTTCACATATAATAGGTTTATCTCTCATTCAGAACAATGGAAACCTTTGATCTCTGGACACCTCGTTAGATCAAATATAATTAAACACCTGTGTCATGGAACACGATGATGTCATAACTCCAACTGACATGCTCAGAGCAGCAGACTTCAGATAAAGGTTAATGGTCCTGCCCTCAACAGCTCTACGTCAGTTATGGGGTGTGTCATCATATGCCGTTTCCATGGAAACGCATCCCTCGCCATAAAAGACGATGTCGCTATACATTAACTCCTATGAAAATGTTCAAAAAGTGCTCAAACTTCACATGTGGGCTAACAGTCCAGCCGTGAAGACGTCTACGGGACAGTTTTGAGATTTCTTCAAATGCCGTTGCCATGGCAACACAATGCTCGCCATGAAACACGGTTTTCTCATAACTTCAGTGAAAATGCTCCAAACGGCCCAAAACTTCACAGGTTTGGTAACGATGCAGCCATCAACGCATCTAAGCGTATTATGGGGTGTCATCAAATGCCGTTGCCATGGTGAGAGACCACTCACCATGAAACACGATGTCGCTGTAAGTCCAATGGACACGGTCCAATCGTTCCCCAATCTTCACTTGTATATCACCGGTCCATGCCTCAACAGCTCTACGCCAAATCTGAGATCTCACCATATGTCGTTTCCATGGAAACGCATCCCTCGCCATAAAACACGATGTCGCTATAACTCCTATGAAAATGTTCAAAAAGTGCTAAAACTTCACGTGTGCCAACAGTCCAGCCGTGACGACATCTACGTGAGAGTTGAGATTTCTTCAAATGCCATTGCCATGGTAACTAGTGGTGCACGATAATTATCGGTCCGATATTAGGAATTATGACGTCATCCCGATAAACCCGATAAAAGTATTAATAGCCCCGATAATATAAAATATATTTTTTGGGTAAAAAAAAGAAAAAAATACTGCGGTGTGGGTGGATTGGGATGAGGGGCGTTTGTTTTTCACTCGGCTCCTCCCGTTTTGCCAGTACTGTGGTATTAGTGGTTTAGGAAGAGGGGAGTTTTTCACAAATCCAGCGCTCCCTAACTCATGCCTGGCTGTGATGTAAATGGTGTGCGGCCGTGAAGCCAGGACAGTAAACAAACATGTCGTCGGTAGTATGGGAATATTTCAAAGTTTCAGAGTTAGATAGTTCGCTTGCTATTTGTATTAACAAATGCAATGCAGAAGTTCCACGAGGAGGGAAAAAGGCAACAAGCTATAATACTTCCAACCTGATTAGTCACCTGAAACATCGCCATCACTTTGAAGAGTCAAAACTGTTCTTGGCTTTGTTTTGTTCATAGTAGTAATGCTCATGTCATTTGCTCACTACTAGTCTTTTTTTTACCACCAGGTGTGCAAAAACTACAGGTACATTTAATATATATATATATTATATTATTATCGGTTATCGGTATCGGTCTTGAGAAGCAGGAAGTTATCGGTATCGATATCGGTTTCAAAAAACCAATATCGTGCATCCCTAATGATAACACAAGGCTCGCCATGAAACACTGTTTTCTCATAACTTCAGTGAAAATGCTCGAAATGGCCCAAAACTTCACAGGTTTGGTAACGATGCAGCCATCAACGCATCTAAGCGTATTATGGGATGTCATCAAATGTTGTTGGCATGGCGACAGATCATTCGCCATCAAGTTAGTTCAAAAGTTTGCAGTTCAAATATTCTTCTGCTTTTCCAAGCCTTTTTACTTTATTTTCTTCTCTCATCACACATTCAGGTCCCCAGTGTTCATGTATCATTTCAATCTAAATTCTTCACTTTCTTCTTACACATTACATTTCAGCATAGCAATTCAGCGTCAGCTTTTCAGCATAAAGCATTCCCACTAGCAATTTCTTCAGGAATTGCATTCTCTAGTTGATCTTTACTATTGAGTATATTGGATTTTTCCTGTAGAAATGGCAGGGGATGCTATATATTCTGCTTTTCCTCCTACTATGTTAAACTGAATATCTTTGGGTTTTGTACAGAAAAAGATTTTGGGAATCTTGGATGGACGTGTTTCCATATTTTGTGAGCTTTTATAGACCCAGCGATTATTGATAATGAAAATAATGGTTAGTTGCAGCTCTTCATGAAGAACAGGTGTATAGGATAGCTGTGTTTTACATTGCCTTCAATTCTTGCTCAGGTTGTCTGAGTAACACACTCAAAAGTTTGTATTCATAATGATCTATTTGAAGTTTTTGGATTCACAAACAAATGGATTTATAAGGAAGTGATATTGCGGCCTTTTCCAAAAATAGCTTTTTTTAATTGAACTACTGGCCCTCTCTTTGCAAAGTTAATTTAGTGGATTAAGTTGGTTGGCAGTCATCTGAGCCTAATGTCTTCAGTAAAGCAGATGTAAACAATGTAATATTGAACCTGAAAGTATGTCTGTTGTGTTTATTATGTGTCAATCAACATGCAGGATATGATTATGATATGTGGGATTGTGACAGGACATCCAGGTGGTCTCTACCTGTGCGTGTGTATGATAGTAATAAATACTGGAAAGTCCCTGGCGGCAGCATATGGTCCAGCGGATTAAGGTATTACGAAGGGATGCAGGTGACAGAGAAAGCCTCCTCTAATCGCTGATCTGCTAATTGATTACCAAGCCAGCGGTACTGACCCTGGACACCAAAATGGCAGCAATTTAAAACCTTCAATCCTATTGCACTATGTCAACCTCCAACGTGACCACTCACAGCCGTACATACGGTACACAAACAAAACACCTTTAGTTGGTTGTAGCTCTATATATCCATCAATTAACTGCACTACACCAGGTGGCCAGGAAAACAACATTCACCATGTGTGTATTGATTAAAGACGGACCTGATCACCTTTTAATCACCACGATAATGTTAAAGCATTGGCACCCAAGAGGATCATTTATGAGCTATTGATCCCAATAATCTGCTCATAGTGTTGGTTTTTGAGCTCACCAAGCACATATCATCAAAGCATGCCGTCCCTAACCGCACGTGTGCTGTTTTGAACCAGAAGTGTTTTAATTAGGTGTGTTGTATGGAAGTCATGCATCGAGTCAGCCATTAGATTCAAAGTTGAAGAAAGAATACAGATTCAGCAGTAGTGTGCAAACATTTCCGGCAAGCTCTTTGAGGTTTCCCATGTTTTTTGGACTTTGTTGTTTAGTTTGTGACGTAAATTAGATCAGTTAGTCTGTGATGCTTCAGACCGCTAATATGACCAGTGACCCGTCAACACAGGTTATCGCTTGCTTTGCAGGTTTATGTGAAAACACAGATTTCCTTATGGCTTATTTTTTAAGAGACAAAATTATTTTATTTTATTTTAACTTCATCATTTTGCCACCACCTAAAACCCCAAGTAGAGGACCATTTGGCTATATTTGAAGGCGAAGATAGATGGTGTAACCAGACAGACCACTGGCCAAAGTTTCTGCTATCTATCCCAGTGACTATCCAAAACTCATAGTCATTGGCAGTAAACACTGAAGGATTAGTAACATGCATTATTATCACGTTCCCATCATTAATTAACTGGCCTAAATTTGATCTGGCAGCTTCTCATTGCAGTGTGATGGACCCCTTAGTAGAGATCAGTGGTGAAAAGTAATTGGTAAAAGTAGATTTACTCAAGTACAATTCTGAGGGACTTGTAATTTACTTGAGTATTTGAATTTGTTGCATACTTTATACTTATACCCCACTACAAATCAGAGCTATATAGTGTACTTTTATTCCACTATATTTACTCTATTTCGTACCTTTAGTTACTTTGCAGATTTTGTTTATTGATGAGAAATATAATCAACACTGAATGCAAACTAGCTGCACGTTTACCAGCTTTGATAAACACTTTAATGCATCAATAATTGTAATCAAAACATATAATATTATTCTGAAATATATACTTTTTTTGGTACTTTACTTATATTTTGACAGTCATACTTTTGTACTTTTAATTGAAGGACTTGTACTTGTAACAGAGTTCCTACACTTCTACTTTTACTCAAGTACAAGATCTGAGTACTTCTTCCACCTCTGGTACTGATTTACAAGGTATTTATTTATTCAATCATACTTGTATTGCATGCCATACGTTATCATCATGTTTGTATCTTGTTTATTCTTTATATCTTAATGGTTTGGGTTCACGGAGGCAACCGCCATTAAAATGCTTTGCAGTGACATTAAAGCTGAAAACCCCTCATCAGGTAATGGTGAGTTTGACACCTGTTAGGGTCACTCCTAGTCTCCTACATTAGGTTATTTAGTGATATAAGCGTTGTGTTTATGCAGAATGACTTGAAGAAAAAGAGCTGAGAGTCCTCCTCAGAGGGGAATAAGACCCGGAGTAAAGATGAGAAACCTGGGTGGGGAGGAGGGGGGTGGGATAATCTCACCTTTAGGAAAGGTGTTCGGCTGAACAACGTAGAGAAAAGCGTGGACCATGTGGAAGAGAAGCCCAATAGGTCCTGGCTCAAAGTAAGCGTGGGTATCGTAAACAGCAGCCGGTACAAACCCAAAATCCAACGGCTCCACAGGGGGAGGGGACCGCTGTCTCTGCGGTTCCGCCCGGGCCTCCACCGGGGTCCCGTCCCTCTCCTCCGCCTGCTGCTCGCCGCTGGTGGTGGCCCCCCAGCAGAGCAGCAGGACGAGCCAACTTGTCCACAACATGGCTCAGAAAAGTCCAGCTTTATACAAAACAAATTAAGTAAAAATCCTAGCCCCTATAGGGGTTGAAGAGGGGAGACGCACGAAAGACACCTGTCCCTCCCGGAGGTTTATCCCCGCAGTTCACTATCAACCGTCAGAAACTTTTAAACTTCACATCCAACGGTCGAGTTTCAGCCGTTATCTCCTGCTTGTTTCCCGGTACGGAGACATTTTCTCGGATTTCTTCTACGACGACAAAAGAGGACTAACGGCCGAGGATGTGCTCGTGGTCTCGCTGTCCTGGCTCACTCTCACCGGCCCTAATCCCCCGTGCACGTAAAACCCCAGAACGCGCGCGCTCGCTGAAAGCTCGCCGGCTGTGCCGCGCGACACCGTGGAGTCAAATCACCTGTCAGTGGTGGGAAGTAACTACATACTTTTACTCAAGAAGCATACTGTAATTAAATACACATTAAGGCAGGTTACGTGTAAATTCACTGAGTATTTCTATTTTATTTTTTTTACTTTGAATTAACATGCCAGTGTCAAATAGTGTTTGACCAATCTAATGTCCAGGTTAATAACCTTTCTTATATGCTTAATTTCTTATCTTATTTCTTTATGATAACATGTTTAAATGTATATTTTAAAATCATTTTAAATGTAGGCTATATTGAACTGTATCACCAGAAGGACATCCTAAAGCTACCCAGATGTTTAAATATATTTTATTATACTTTTAGGCTATTTAATATAATTCAGAGACCGTTTGCATTTAGAAGGTGTCATGGGTTCTGGGTTATTGTAAGGTATATATATCACTATTTTGACTCATTTTAAAAATCGCATAATCTAGCTGTAAATGGATAAATTAATCAGCAGATCCATCGTTATTGAAAATATTGGTTAAAAGTTCAAAATAAGCTCCATCTCAACAACAGCAGAATCCTGCTTTTACATGAATGCAAAAATAAATTAACATTAACAGTGTCACAAGGGACAAACTTCTCCTTTGAAACTTTAAGTACTTTTTCCTGATCATACACATACTTTTACTGAATTAACATTTTCAATGCTAGGACTCTTGATTCTTTTTATGGTATGCTTTTACTTAAAAACAGGATCTAGGTACTTCTTCCTCCACCGAATGTGACGACAGGTAATTGACTCTGAGGTCACAGAGCAGCTGACCTTCAGCTCTGAGGTTGTTAATAGACGGTCAAGGCTTGTGAAAAAATGTCAAGCACACAGGGTTCGAGTTCAAAAAAGGGAAAACCCAAAGTTCAGTTCAAAAGTAACATTATAGCCCAGTTAAGCCTTTGATAAATCAGCACTCTCTCTCATCCTCTCTCGCCTCCTCACAGTCACTTTACACGATACATGACACTTCACGGATTAAATGTAAATGTTAAGTATGTTGACATAATCAGGAAAACACAAGTCATGTTTCCAGAAGCAGATCATTTATCAGAGTTGAATAAAAAGTTCCCCTGTGTGTGAATGACTGTGATGACAGAGACCCTCTCTAAATGCCCATTGAGGGGGAACAGTGGTCTGCAGTGTTTGCCCTGTGAACAGAGCCTGCAGTGACTCCTTTCAAGAAACACTCGCCAATGTTTCTCACACACACACACTCAGTGTTCTGGGGCCTTACCACTGAATCCACTATGAAGCTGCACACTATCTCCATGCTGTCCACAATGTTACCGATGTGTTTACACTGGGCCACCTCTGCAACTGCAGGAGAAAAATACTCAAAGCATAGATAACAGTTTATGTATGAATGAGGTCAAATGTGAAACCATAACTTGATAAGTATATATGGTGTATTGAAAGTAGGTTAGGTGTAGTTTTGTACATGAAAGATGATTTCTCCTCAACGTATTACAGATTTTTAAATCAAATTGTCTTCTGCTACTATTTAAATCATATGGTTACAGAGAACTTTTACAACTTCCATAACATCAAGTGACTCTAAAGGTAGAAAACATAAAGTAAATATGGAACTTACAGGATGTTTGTTTGAAGTAACAATTACGGGAAGGATACAGTGTCCTCATCCCTCCAACCATCAGAGCCTTTTCATATGTCTATAGATTAAATCCAAATACATGGGGAACATGTACTACATGCAGCTGCGTCATGAATCAGTTAGAGACACACACACGCTCAAACACGCACAGAAAGACACTTCACACACATATATTATTGAACAGTAAGATGGTAACAAAAAGGGTTACAAAACAAAAAATTTGTTTTATTCTCCTTCTATACCACATACAAGATTTGTAACAGATTGGTTGTTGTTCAAACAAAAACAATGCAATATCCTACCACACACACACACACACACACACACACACACACCCACACACACACACACACCACACACACACACATCACACACAGCACACACAACACACACACACACCACACACACACACACACACACACACACACACACACACACACACAACACACACACACACACACACAACACACACACACACACATCACACACACACACACACACACAACACACACACAACACACACACACACACCACACACACACCACATCACACAACACACACACACACACACACTTTTAGATAAGTCTTTGATGATTCTAGAGAAGCATTCATTAATTTGAAAGACCTTTTAAAAACCACTGGGTATTTCTTTTTCGAAAATCCAAATGTTAAGCACTGTTGCTTGAATCAAATACAACAGGATATTAGCATGCAATGCTAAATGTAGGGCTAGCTTGAATTCAGCATTTCAGAAAGATATGATCAACAATGCTTCCAGCTTTTACAGCTTCTAAAGGTCGTTCTATAAAAATGAAAGCATTTGGAAAAAGCTTCTTCCAATTAGCCAGCCGAACAACAAACACACCACTCAATGTCAGCAACATTTAGGATTCAAACCTGACTTCCTACAGCGCTCAGGAAAATAAAAAGATGATGCATGGTTCAACCAAAGTGCTCATATGATCCTTGTTATTTTTGATAGATGATTATCACACAATACCCTTAAACATTTCACCTGCATACATGCAACCTTAATTATTTCTCATATCACTGCAAAGATAATGGGAAATAATAACAAAACATTTAATTGATGCTGATCTGAGAGTGTCACACACCAAGAATGTTAAATGAGACCAACTACTTTTAAATAAATACTGTCTTTACAAACAGGCACCAGCCTATCTCGGTGCTTAAAGTAACAATATCAACACAAGCGGCATGACACTAAAACCTCCAAACTTTGATCTGCGTCTAAAAGGTAAAGTAACCTCTGTAACCAAAGCCAGTGCATTCAGCAGGACTGCACCTAATGTCGCTGCTGCCATGTCGGCGCGCTGAGGACACTCGGGGTCATCACAGTAATTCACTTTAAACAAGACTATTTTAGATGTGTTGGTGTGTGTGTGTGTGTGTGTGTGTGTGTGTGTGTGTGTGTGTGTGTGTGTGTGTGTCAGCAGAGCAACATTGGGATTTCAACAGTGTGTTAATGTGATTGTGAGTCTTAGTCCTGCAGGTCGATTCTAGAAAAAGATCTGAGAGTCTTCATAAAAACTTCATTTTAAATATTAGGCTTTTGAAAAATTTGTTTTTTAAAAAAAAATTGACGAATTTGTTCTTTCTAAAAACAAATCTGCACCGCACGCATGATTGTGCTTTTGAACACGTACTCGCACAGTCCAGCTGTCATTTCATCACACAGCGATCCTAGTGGCACTACGTCACATACGTGTTTCTGTCTTCGTGCTCTTCTACAGCTATGCCAATTTTCTCCCATAGTCATGAGCAAGCATGTCTTCAGGTTGCCGTGACAACCAAGACCAATCCCCGGAGTGAACCTGGTTCACGAGGCACCGGCTGGACCAGATGGAGACATCTGAGGCCGCCTGTGATGCTTGTAGTAACAGCGTTATGCCTTGGCTGGTTTTGTCAGTAATAAATAAATAAATAAATACTCAGGGGTCAGGTGCGCTGAAGTTTCTCTAGTCCAACCCGTGTTTCTGATCCCTGAATCTTGGCGTTTTGCCAGGGCACACTGACTGGTTGTTTCCCTGTAGCTTTCAGTCTATTCGGTTGCCACAGATGGTGAAGCGGTCTATTTCCAGCAAGTCTTTCTTGGGTGTTCGTGGTTCGAGACCTTCCAGTCCGGTGTTGGCGTTGATGATTTTTTCACCATCATCCCCATCTGGCGTGGTCAGGAAAGTGTCTGAGTCACTTTTGGGGAGTGTTGGGGCAGAGCTCTCTGCCACACTGGGGGGCGGAGAAACATCTGCTGCCACGGATGCTCCTCCTTTGTCGATTGTGGGTTCTATTTGAGAGAGAGTGGAGGAGGTTTAATACAAATAGCAATTATCCAATCAAAGCTTAGCAACTGTCATAAGCAGTGTTCATTTTTTTAACAAAGACTGTGACTAAATATGTTCATCAACAACGAAGACAGAATGTGGCCTGCATCACCTGTCATTAAACTTACTGTGATTAGATCAACAGGGCTTGACATTGCAAGCCTCAAGAATAATCATACAGGCACATCAAATCACATGACCCTTTAAACATTTTGAAAGGGATGTCCACATTTGATCTCAAAGATCAGAATTGGAGTAGAGCAATGCATTTTCCCCTGATTGGCATTAGCAATACTGAGCTATTGAGCCCAATCTGATCCGTTAGCTGTATTTTTACTTTAGCTCACAGCAATGCAATATTACATTCCCTTTTCCCCTTGCTAATGCTACATCGTGAAAAATATTTCAGATAATAATGAAATCAGCATAAAAACTGATGTTCACTGTTAGCAGCAAGTTAACGGAGCAAGGTGCTAATGCTATAAGGTTGCATTTTGATACATCTAAGCGCTATACAGTAAAAATGAGTACTAGGTCGAGGGCTAATATTATATCAAGGCACCATTGTTAAAAACAAAACTATTAAGATTTTGAGCAGTAAGTCTGCGGCTGTTATTATTGTAAGAGTTGGATCAACTGCTACCTTGCTGTGGTGGAATGTGGACGTGTTTGGAGCGGTGAGCTCTGGAGTTTGCACGGCTGGAGACGACGGTGGGCGGAGGGTTGAAGAGCTTCTCTTCCATGTTGGCCTCTTTCACGAATCCACAAGACGTACCCAGCAGAAGGATACTGTTGAGCACCTTCAGAGTGATCATCCTGCGCAAACACACACAAAACATGTGGATATGTGAGAAAGTGCAAACTTTGAAGGTACAACAAGAACATGTTAACTGGTTAAGGAAAAGTATGAATATAAAACTAATATCTTTATATGACCGACACAAGAATGTGACTTTCAGCTTTATTTTGTATATTATATGTGATGCTTACAGCTACTCGGGAACGATAAGCAACAAAAAAAAAAAATGGACAAAAAAACAATCTCAAAGGACAGAAATGAACTTTGGATTTCCATCAATATGAATTACCGTTGGGGGCTAAAACAAAGCTAGAAATGGCTTCAGCTAACATTAGTTGAATTTGAAACCAGCTATTCAAGACAAGTTTTTATACGAGTCTAAACCACTAGAGTGAGTCATCGTATTGGTCAAACCCCCCTTCATGACCAAGTTGAGTCTTTCCGACACAAAACGAGGCGGTGTTGCTCATGGAAACTACCGCTTTTGTCCACAGGGGCAACCATAATCAACACAAAATCAACTTTAAAAAAAACACAAATAACAGTACAAGAGAGTCTACTAACCCAAGGTAAAACAGCAGCACACACATGAAGGACAGCGAACCCTGGATCTTCACTGAGCTGGTTACGACTCTGATCAACTGAAAATAAGGAACACAAACACATAATCAGATATAAAGTGTATAACCCCTTACACTGAAAATACATGAAAGGAAAATAAATTGATATTTTCATATACAGTGACTGACCAGTAGAGCTAAAGGGAGCGGGATGAAGCCCATTCTTCTGGAGACTGAGTCACTGTAGTCTGTGTAAGCCTGGAGACACATTTAAGACATATTATCAAATAGATATCAACATTAATATTCCTCCATAAAAAAAGTACATAACTTACTCATGTAATGATATCTCAATAAAGATTGGAGAACATATCTGTGATATTGCAATCATCATTCTTTGTTTCACATTCATTCTTTAACAAAAAATGTATACTGATTGAGAATTGTAGAATAGCTTATACTTATATAATACAAACAACAATAAATCCAGTTCGCAGTAAGGGTTGGCTTTTACAGTGTGACCATATGTAAAGAAGAAAACCAATTATTAAATAATCAAAATTGTTGACATCTAATAGTTTAATCCATGTTTGCAGTTCTAGTTTAATACTTATATCCTTGTTTTGATAATATACCCTTAGTATCGCTACTTGTATTGAGAAAAATGTTCTATATGGAAACAACATGAGCAGAGGTGTTGATCCTTAAGTTGTAGTTTATTGAGCTCACTGCCAGAATAAAAAAAACACTAATGATAAAAAGTCATTACATTTACTGTTGATATAAATAGATAGACAGGTGACCCAACATGGGATCCTGACCCCTAAGTAGGACAATCTCTGACCTAGTTTGGGAGCAAATCTGATATTTGAACACATTTCACTCACATTTTTCTGTCGACTGCTGAGAAGATCAAAGGCAAGGCTGGCTCTGTATTCCCCGTATACCTGGAAAAACAACATACGGTGACACAACATTAGTCCAAAAAGTAGACAAATATCAAAAGAACATACAGCTGCTCAAATTAATGGAATCAGCAGAGGGAGATGTGTATTCATCTGTTATGTGTTTATACGAGGTTTAGTTTGGTTAGCGGCAGGAGATGAGCCAAATTACATTTTGATAAAAAGAAAAAAGCAATGTGCACACATGGATTAAATGTGGACAGCATGTTTGCTTGGACGCTAACTCATGTGTGATTACACTTTGGAGATGAAGGGGTTAATCCCTTCTTGTGGAGTTGGTTTCTGTTACATAACCAGTGGTGGCGTCAGAGGATTTTTGTTGGGTAATCTATGGTAGGGCTAACCCATACAGTGGTGGGGCTCAAGTCAGTATTTGTAATGTAATTACATACACGCTATATCGCCCCCCTTGACAGTGAAACGCCAAGCGTGAAGCTTTTATTAGTCTCCTTTTATCAGCTAAATTACATCGAGAACAACAGGTGTGAGTTAAACAATACAATAGCCTATTCTGCTAATTCCACGTTGTTACAACATGCTACGCAGCGGCAGAAACAAGAAAAGTTGGCATATAGAATTGACACGGAGAGGGTGAGTGAGGGAGAGTGAGAGAGAGAGACACAGACACAGGTAAACAGAGAGAGACTGACACAGCACACAACAGGTGGCCTGTATCTCTATTGTCATACAAAACACTTTTTCAAATGACTATTACAAAATATATTCAAAACTCACTATTCACTCTTCAGGTGGGTCGTGTGACTCTGGCACCTGTTCGACTTGTACCTCAATGCGAGGGCGTTTAAGAACAAATCTATCCATGCGAAATATACAATTAATCCTAGAAGTTCTGCTGTCTGTCTGCAATTTACTCTGCGCGAGTTTGGGGACTTTTCACTGTGAACGTGACGAATCGACGTATCAGTAATGCATGACCTATGTGCATGACGCAGCAGACCCAACGTTTCGTTGCTCTGATTGGCTGTAGGTCTATTCAAATTGCATTCGGAGGCATTTTGATCTGACCGCGGCCGCGCTGATATTATAAGGCCAGAGAATTTTCACACCTTTAGTGTATAAAACTCCCCCACTACTTAGACTATTCCTTGCACCCCTCTAGCATAAGCCCGAATGGTCTCAACCATATTGCGTCAGTAACGTGCACTTGTTGTTGCAGCAGGATCAGTTTGTGTGTTGTGGACACGACCGGTAGATTTTCGCAATCCGTGTTCTCAACATGCTTACTTTAACATACTTTTTCATGGTCGGGCTAAGGTAGGGCTAAGCCATTTCTTGGTATGGCTGTAGCCTACCCCAGCCATACCCTGGCGCCGCCACTGTACATAACCAAGGTTAAATCTCCTTGCAGGAAATCAAAGAGGAAGAGAAAACGTCAATACAGTCGAACTGAATAGAGTATGTTGAGCTCAAAATGAATTCACCTTTGAAAAGTAAATAGAAAAAGGATTATATCAAATGTAGGCCTGTTAGCTGTTTGCTGAACTTTTGACCGCTTCTCACTGTCCTGTCAGTGGATGGAGTTTGCTCAGTGTCAAGAGACCACATCCAAATCTGTGCGGAAACATCTGTGTCTTTGTTATTTATCACTAATAGCTATTAAGCCTTTGCATCAACCTCTTCCACTTGTGTCAACATTTACTATTTTGTACAGACTGAAACTAATAATAGATGGCATGCTGAACTAATCTATGTAATGGCTCTGCTAAAAGTACATAAAAAAAGAGGCGAGGGCAAAAAGGGTCCGTTTACTGAGATGAGGAGTGGAAGAACTGGTTTAAAAGCACTTAAAATAACTAGTAAGCAATCATGAAATTCAGATTTTGTCAAATTCCAACGTGTTCTTTGTGTTTGATTCTCTTTCAAACAACAATATTGCTCTCTTAGGTGCCTTGACACACTTCTAGACACCTACTCCACAACAACCTAATGTATAAAGGGCGAAAGTGCTGCATGCAAACTCACATCAGCACTGATGTCATTGAATTTGGTGATGAAGGCGTGCTTAACAACGTCCACAGCAACTTCAGAGGCAATCACCATGACTACATCAGGAAACAGCACCCAGAAGTGGTCTGAAAACAAACATTAAAAACTATTAAAGGTGGGGTATGTAATTTATTTCAGAAACAGTTTTTGTGATATTCCATAGAATGCTCTTAACATCCCGATAGCAATGAATAAATTAAATGCTTTGACAATAAATACATTAAAAAAAATTCATCTGTGGAAGCCGTGGCGCTGTAAAAAGCACGACCAATCATTTTAGCCGGCCCGGCTAAAATAACTGGATGGCCTTCCTGCCTGTCAGCCTTCCATCTGTGCACAAACTTATCTCGTGCCCTCATTGGTCATGTTCGCGTTCGTGTGTGTTGGAGGAGGGGCTCTGTACTTTCAAATTCTAGCGCACTCGAGCTGGTTTCTCCAAAATTACATACCCCACCTTTAAGTGACAATATTCAGTAAAAAATTATACATAAAAATGTAGTGACAGTTCACTGCTGAACCAAGCTGATAATACCAGAGGAGCATGATGTAACTTCTAGCTATCATATAGATTAACCATGTGTGTACTGTAGGTTACAGTAATGTCACATTATCTGTGCAGCACTGCGTTCATTTACCAGGGTTCCAGGAGAACTGCTCCATGTTCCTCAGACAGACGATGAGCAGGAGGATGTAATTGGTGAACCTCTCTTTTATGTCTGTGGAAAACGAAACAAGTCAATCCCGGATTAACCTACTTTGTACTCACTGCGGTAGAGCTCAATTCCATAATTTTACCTTGTACTTCATAGGCCGAGTTAGAAAATATACGCAGACCGCTGATTTTGCGACTTATATTTGTCTGTTTTAGAGATATTTGAACACTTACCGCTGTTTGACATCTGGAACAGGTTGTTCTTTTCAAACTTCTTGAACACGCTTCCTTTGATCTCCACAAACTGCAAAAAACAAACAAAGCTCATGGCTGAACTCATGCTACAGAATTCAGTTAAATGTCTGTGTGCATTATACTCACGTTGTTTGACATCATGATGGTGAGCAGGGATTTGTTGTGGGAGTTGAAGGCTACGTTCAGAGTGGTGGCCTGAACCATGATGAGGATGGCATGGAGAACTAGATAAATGCGTGCTAAGGAAAAAACACTGAGGAGTACAGCGAAGAATATCATGCTGTGTGTTAACTTTCTGATTCAGGCCCATTAGTATGATTGTTTTAGTATTCTAAAGTAAAGCTCTGCCTGGTTGCAACTGATGGTTATTTCATTAGTGATTAATCTGCAGATTATTTTTATATCATTGACCCATTGTTTTTTTAATAAAAAGTCCAAAAAGCCTCTCTAAGCACTAGTTGACTTCGAGCTGCTTCTGTTGTACGACCAGCGTTTTTTGTTAAGTAAAGAAAAGAAAAAAATTATTTTGTAATATAAATGATGTCAATGTGACTTTTTGTCATTCAAAGGTGAAAATGACTACATCCTGATTTGTATGCATAGTTTATTTTACTTAAAGGTCCCATGTCATGGCCCTTTCTACTGATCATAATTCCATTGTTGAGGTCTACTAGAATAGATTTATATTGTGCTATGTTCCAAACTCACATTGGTTTCTCATACAGCATCTCTCTATAGTATGTGTATTCACTCTCTGTCCTAAACGGCTTGTTGGAGCTCCTGCCCCCCCCCCCTCCCTATGAGCCCACTGTGCTCTGATTGGTCAGCTCGCCCTCTATGTTCTGATGAGTCCACCACCGTTACAGCGGAACATCAGTGTTTATGTGTTACAATGGCGTTAGCAACCAGAAAATGACACCAGTAAGGACAAACAGATGAGAATGCTGCGTGGGGTCTGGGGTGTCGTGTTGGCGAGACATTGCGGGGCTCGCTGCTGCGAGGAGCGGACAGTGTGAGCTGGGTTAATTTCCTGCTTGCTGCATGGGGTCTGCGAGAAAGCGAGACATCGCGAATGGACGCGGGAAGGGGGTTGCGGCACCCCCATCTGCGAGGCTCCACTAGCACCCGCACCCCCAAACGCGGCACACCTACAGTGTAAGTGCGTCACAGTTTCAGAACAGAAAACAGAAAATTATTTTGAGAATAAAAATAAAAGATTATTTTGAGATTTTTTTTTTTTACAATATCGGACCGACAATCGCGCATATAGGCTATAATGTCCGAATAGAGAATCTACCTACACCTGAAGATTACTTATTCTACTTTTATCCATGTTGAGAGTGAATGACACACAGCACAGGCACAATCTGGCAGTGGGGTGCACTGATCAATAAGTAGGTGGACAGCGCGTGGTGCTGAAATAGCCAACATGCGGTTTGAAAAAAATAACACCAGCTCACTAAATCATTCAAACGTAATGTTTACTTATATGTGAACAGTAACAAAGTTCAGTCAAAACATTGACAACTAAGTCGGAGAAGCCGAACGTGTCACATGTTTTAACAATCAATTACTTAAATAAGCCTTTGATTATGCTCTGGCCCGCCATCTAGTGGCTCAGAAAAAAACTGGCCCAAGGCCAAACTTACTTGCCGACGCCTGCGCTACAGGGTGTACTTTGAGGGTTTGTGACTTTACAGACCGTACATGCATAAAAACCTTCATAACACACAAGGGGACGGGTAATAACCCGTGCACGTGCACTACGCTCTGCATCAGCCAAACGACTCGTTGCGCCCTCGCTGCGAGGGGGACCCAAGTTCCGATCGGCGAAAACACGTGGGTTTGCTGTCCTGGCTCCAAGATGGTGGAATGAGCTCCCCATTGACATCAGGACGGCAGATAGCTTGCACATCTTCTGGCGCAAACTGAAAACTCATCTCTTTCGACTCCACTTCGAGCGATAGAACTATTAACGAAGCACTTTTATACTAATAAAGGACTGGCTTACCTAAAGCCAATGGAGTAGCACTTGAAATGTTTGGCTCTATGAAACCTGATGTACTTATATGATTCTGTTTTCTTCAAGGTTGTGTCTTCATGGTCGAATGTACTTATTGTAAGTCGCTTTGGACAAAAGCGTCAGCTAAATGCAATGTAATGTAATGTAATGTAATAACCGGAAAAGCATGACATGGGACCTTTAAACGTTTCATAGATTATCAAAAATGTTGCTGATGGATTTCCTGCCGAATGACTAATTGTTGTGGTTCTAAAGGTCTGTCCATTTCCTGACACGTCTGTTTTACAGAACAACGCACAAAAGCAACAAGTTACACAAACTGGTAACAACAATCCCAGGCCGTTCTCAGTGAGGATACAGACGTAGAGCACAGCCATGAGGAAGTGAGGAATCACGCCTATGTGCGCTCTCTTCTTCTCCTTTGGTTCTGTGGCTGTCCAGTACAGAGCGTCCAGGATGTCCTGACCAAATGATGAGAAGAGGCGGTCTGCCACCTGATATCAAAACAGGGGAGGACGAGAGAGCAGATTAGTTAGTACTTCACTGTACATTAGAATCAGATACATCAGATACAAAGATTATAATTGCAATATTATCATGGTGTACCTCTAACATGTTGTATATGATGTACAGCTTGATGACAGACTGTCCTCTGATGAGGTGGTACATCATGGAGTAATCCACGTAGCTCATCATGGAGTAACACAGCACCATGATGAAGCCTTTCAGCACATCACACACCTGGGCCGGCTGGAGCAAGCGGGCGCCACTAAAACACACACACACAAATTATACATGGTAGAAATGAGCTGTACTGCCCTCTATAGAGGTTAAAAACAATGCTTCACAGGTCCTGTTTACAAATGTGGCTAAGATTAGATAAAGGAGGTGTATTTGCGTGTACTTTACCCGAGGCCACAGCAAGGCAACGTGAGGAGCCGTAAAAGAGCCAGAATCACCCTGAGGGGCAGCAGGGTGAACACATAGAGGAAGGCATCCAGACAGAGGAAGAAGCCGAATGTCATCAACTAAAGAGAGAGAATGAGAGACAGACATGGAGAATAAGATAATACTATTTATTTGTGACTTTGTAATAAATTGTGTCGCACTGAATTGTTAGTTTTGACCTTTTCCAGCTCCTTGGGGATGCGGAGGCAGGTGTAGACCCTCTCTCTGCGCTCGGTGTATTTGGCCTCATTGTGTTCCAGGAAGTAGCCTCTGGTTAGCTCAGTAGTTATAAATCTGACCAGAGACAGGTCTATAGCAAGAAATGGACAGAAGACAAATAACTGAATTAATAGACATGCACAATAAAGCCTTCTAAGGGAAATTAGAAATAGCACACCTTAGTGATAAAAATAACTATAATCCTAAAAAGCATTTAGAGTTTCCTTCATGTTAGCAGCAGGTGCCTGTTTTACACTGCAGACAAAGGGGAGTCCTTAGCTCATAATAAACCATTAAGATATGAAATACCTTAACTATATGACCGAACAGGTCCACAACCAAATATTACAACCATATGCAAGTGTTGAACATCTTATTCCCAAACCATAAACTCGCTGCTATAACTGACTTCACAGTTATGGGAAAGTTTTCCAAAAAGTTTTGTAGCATGGCTGTTTTTTCCCCCATCCAGTCACAATAGTACATTAGTGCATTAGTGGGAAGACTGATGTTTGGTTATTGTTTGGCTCACCGTCAGGGCTGAGTGAGTTCATCCTAAAGTTGTTGGATGAGTTCAGGGCATTTAAGGTCTTCTACTACACTATGGGAAAATGACTTTGATTTGTGTATGGGGGGCATTGTTTTGGTGAAACAGGAAATAGTTCATCTTCTTCTTTCATTTATTCAAATTCAACAAGCAATTCATTGTATTTTAGCAGTAAACTAAAAACAGCAAACAAAGATCATATTTTCTTGTTTCGTTTAGCTCTATTGCTTAGCTTTTCCTAAGGTTTTTTCCGTTTTTTTTGGGGTAGCGTTCCCTAAAGCGACGGTAAAAACCATAAGTGTCGAGTGATGGACACATTGTAAAGCCTCCTGAATTGCCTATATAATTGACTTGATATTAATTGGAACCAAATACAAAAGTATAAACACCCACTCTCGGCCGCGCTCCTGAATGCGCCTGTGCAAAGAAACAGCACGTCTTACTTTGACATAGCTGCAAACTGGCCTATCACACTTCTGCATGTTTAGTACATCATTACATGCAATCGTGCGGTCTCGCTGACAGTCGTCTAACAGCTAGGATGAATATAACATAAATGAGACACGCAACGTCACTTTAAATCAGCTGAGTGTTTAAGAAACAGTAGCTGAAGTGATATAGTTAGCCACATTCAGGGATCAATTGCAAACTCGGAACAGTGCCACAGGCTGCACAGACTATTAGTAACATATTGAAATTGAAACTGCGTGCTCAAGCAACACATATAACCACCTATACAGTGCAGTTATGTTATATAACCAAACACAACTTGGTCAGTTGAGTTAAAATCCCTTCAGCACAGCCACAGCAGCTAGCTAGCGTTAGCGCTGTCAGCCTACAGGCTGTAGTAACGATGCTAGCTCTCACCTGACAGGTTGCGTTTCTTGCCATTGTTGCCTCTGTTTTTATCGTTGGACCGCAGGGTGTCCGTGACTCTGTCTTTCTCCTTGTTTTTCTCTGTTTTGGCAGCCTTCCCGTCCCGCTCCCTGCCTTCCTTCTCATTCTCCTGCTCCTCTCCCAGACCTGACGACAGCGAATCCGCCATCTTCAGCCAAACGGTCTCATCCGCTGCTGCTGCTGCATAGTATGGAAACTATGGAAAGCCAAAAGTGCCATACTTCGTCCATTTATTTCGCGCGAACATACGGACTTCCGCGAAAATACGCGCGAATATACACGTGAATGTTCGCGCGGTTTTTTAATATGATAATGGGCCCCTCCTTCTGATTTCCATAGCCATAATTTGGAGTAAAATAGTTCTATCACTCTACTTTCACCACAGAAAAGTTACATCAGGACTGATTCATCACTTCATATTCCATACCAAGGTTCATGTGATGTGTACAAATACAAATTGAGCATTACAACTTTTTCAACCAACAATTTATGTTAACAGAAGAAACTGTAAAATCTCAATATTTACAATATCAGAACTTTTTCAACCAACTATTCATTATAAATGTAAAGACAGGGGGAGCAGTGTCATCGTCTTTGTCTGTCTTCCAAGACAGTGGGTCTGGCTGCTGTGTAGGTGGGGGTGATGGTGCATGGGCTACTGGTGGCTGTGTTGGAGGGAGGTAGCAGGTGTGATTGTTCCGGGTTGATGCTGGTGGCTGTGGGTACGTGTGCCTGCCGCAGACTTGGCGTTCTGGCTAGAACAATTATCCATCCATGGAATGACCAGACAAACGGCAGCAACTTTCCCTCTGCTTCATATCTCCTGTTCAACAGGTTAGTAGTTTGTACAAAGATAATGTCATATTTCGATCTAAGAAGTGTGTTTGAAACTGTTTTATATGTAGTTTAATGTCATTCTGTGAGCTAGTTTGGCTCCACTACAGTGTGTGGCTAATGGCGTCCGCTAGCTTCTTTAGCACAGGCTATCGCTCCCTGAATAATGTAGGGCTCAAACTACTATGTTACTATGTGTATGACTCCCGTGCACTAGTTTGGCTTACATTTCAAGTGTATTCTGTTTGTATAAATATGTGAATTGCTGGTCTGAGGTCATAATTGTTCATATTATTGAAATGCTAATAGCGCTAATACTATGCTAATATTGTGCCTGTCAGTGTACAACAGAGCCATGTTAAAGTGAGTACAGTCAACCGGGTTGGGTGTGTTATCACTGTATTATAGGCCTACTGTAAATGAAGAAAGCTTTAATCCTTCAAAAAAGTCATATGGCATGTGGATTTATTTCCATTTTTGATTAGAGACAAATATATCATAAAAGCTATTTTGATTTGCTGAATGTATGTTTACATTAAGAACAAATAATGATTAGATAAATAGAGAAAACAGATATAATTTGTAAGTGAATGTATTAACGTGTTTAATAAATTCTGGCTAGAACAAACTGCAGCAACTTTCCCTCTGCTTCATTCTTTTCTCCTGTTCAACAGGCTTATTATCTGATTACCAGCTCTGCACAGCGGACTTGTAACACTAGCAGCAGTGGAGATGGAGCATCAGAACCTGAAGGCTTCTACTCTTCTCAGGGGCGGTTCTAACACTGACTTTGGACCCTCCTGTGGCCCCCCAGAAAATGAAAAAAATGAAAAAGTTTATGATTATACGATTTCTTGGCTGACGGAATAGGCGTAACTAACGCTATTTGTCTTTCTAGTCGGACCCATTAGAGCAGGGGTCTCCAACACGTCAATCGCGAGCTACCGGTAGCTCGCAAACCCTCAATAAGTAGCTCGCCAAGCAAATCCAAAATGTAAAATATACACACAAAAAAAGGAAATGTAATTAAAAGAATCTACCCTATGCATAAACGAAACCTCAAACTTAGAAAATCTATCTACTTACGACAACTCTATATCTATCCAACACCCCTCCTCCCCCCACAATGAATATCGACCAATCACGTTCTTGCAACAGTTTAAAAGGGGAGTGATTAGTAAAATATGCATAAATAAAAAGAAAGAACGCTAACTATAGGTAACATAAGATAAGAATAAACAAGTTTAAATGATTTGTTATTGGTTGTGATCATATTCTAAAGATGTTTGGATTCTTGAAAAGTATACAGCTCCCTTTCATATGAGTGTTGAGAGCTGTATCCATAAATTCATTTTGTGCTCAAAGTGCATCAGATTGATGCATTTAACTTCAACATTTAAAAAAAAATATTACCCGGGGGTGCGTGCCCCCAGACCCCCCTAGAGGATGTGAGGTCCACCCCAAAATAAAGCAGGTTAAAATAATTTAATTGCATACATTTTCTTTTAGTAAACACTGAAAACGGGTCCCACATGACCCAAACAGCACACAAAGTATAATGTTAAAATGTGCTAAATATATACACTGCAAAAAACAAACAAAGAGAAGTTAAAGTAGCTCACTACTTGTTTTATTTTTTGAAAGTAGCTCTCATCCTCAAAAAGGTTGGAGAACCCTGAGCGTAAAAACTGTAACTATAAGTATCTGAAATAAATGTGTACTGAAAAAAACTAGGGCCACCAGGGTGGGTGGAGGGGGTCTGGAGGACGGGTTTTGGGCTGACAGCCCAGGCGCACAGCGGAGGGCCCGGAAGGGATCTCGGGCGGACGGCCCGGGGGCAAGGCAGAAGCCGAGAAGGGGGACTCGGGCGGAGGGCCCAGGGGCAAGGCAGAGTCCAAGGTGGGGGTCTCGGGCGGACGGCCCGGGGGCAAGGCAGAGTCCATGGTGGGGGTCTCGGGCGGACGGCCCGGGGGCAAGGCAGAGTCCATGGTGGGGGTCTCGGGCGGACGGCCCGGGGGCAAGGCAGAGTCCATGGTGGGGTGAAGACCACAGCGGGCGAACTCAGGGGGACGAGCATGAGGGTGAAGGCAGCGGCAGGAAGAGTCAGGGGGCCGGGCCCGAGGGCGAGGACCGCGGCTCTCAGGGGGCCGGGGTCGAGGGCGAAGACCGCGGTACTCAGGGGGCAGAAGAGTAGTCGGCGGGACCTCCAACGGCGCAGGACATAAGATTGGCAGGGCCCCCGGCAGAGGAGTAGTCGGCAGGACCTCCAACGGGACAGGACATAGGGTTGGCAGGACCCCCGGCAGGAGAGTAGTCGGCGGGACCTCCAACGGCACAGGACACAGGGTTGGCAGGACCCCCGGCAGAAGAGTAGTCGGCGGGGCCTCCAACGGCACAGGACACAGGGTTGGCAGGACCCCCGGCAGAAGAGTAGTCGGCGGGACCTCCACCGGGACAGGACATGGAGTTGGCAGAACCCCCGGCAGGAGAGCAGTCGGCAGGATCCCCAACGGGACAGGACATGGAGTTGGCAGGACCCCCAGCGGGACCTCCAACGGGACAGGACACAGGGTTGGCAGGACCCCCGGCAGAAGAGTAGTCGGCGGGGCCTCCAACGGCACAGGACACAGGGTTGGCAGGACCCCCGGCAGAAGAGTAGTCGGCTGGGCCTCCAACGGCACAGGACACAGGGTTGGCAGGACCCCCGGCAGAAGAGTAGTCGGCGGAACCCCCAACGGGACAGGACATGGAGTTGGCAGAACCCCCGGTAGGAGAGCAGTCGGCGGGATCCCCAACGGGACAGGACATGGAGTTGGCAGGACCCCCAGCGGAACCTCCAACGGCACTTGAGTAGGGACTTGAGTGAGGACTCGAGAGGGAACTCGAGAGGGAACTTGAGAGGGAACTCGAGAGGGGACTCGAGAGGGAACTTGAGAGGGGACTCGAGAAGGAACTTGAGAGGGGACTCGAGAGGGGACCCGAGAGGAGACTTGAGAGGAGACTTGAGAGGAGACTCGAGATGAGACCCGAGAGGGAACTCGAGAGGAGACTCGAGAGGGGACTCGAGAGAGGACTCGAGAAGAGACTCGAGAGGGGACCTGAGAGGGAACTCGAGAGGAGACCTGAGAGGGAACTCGAGAGGAGACCTGAGAGGGAACTCGAGAGGGGACTTGAGAGGGGACTTGAGAGGGGACTCGAGAGGGGACCTGAGAGGGAACTCGAGAGGAGACTTGAGAGGGAGAAAGGAAACTTGAGAGAGAACTTTTGTCGGCCGGAACGCCGACAGGACACGAGGGGCTGGAGTGGGCCGAACCACAGACATGACACGGGGAGCTGGCGTCGGCCGGAGAGCCAACAGGAGACGAGGAGCTGGAGTCGGCCGGTACGCCGATAGGACACGGGGAGCTGGCGTCGGCCGGAGAGCCAACAGGAGACGAGGAGCTGGAGTCGGCCGGTACGCCGACAGGACACGGGGAGCTGGCGTCGGCCGGAGAGCCAGTATTGGAGCCGAAACCATGGCTGCTGGGGCCAGAACTGGGGCTGGAACTATGGCTGCTGGGGCCAGAACTGGGGCTGGAACCATGGCTGTGTGGGCCGGTTCTGGAGCCGGAACCATGGCTGCTGGGGCTGGAACCATGGCTGCTGGGGCCGGCGCTGGAGCCAGAAACATGGCTGCAGGTGCTGGAGCCGGAAACATGGCTGCAGGGGCCGGTGCTGGAGCCGGAAACATGGCTGCAGGGACTCGGGCTGGTAGCCTGGACCTGGGTCTCCTTCTCTTGGGAGCCTTTTGGAGGCTCCGTGGACCTCCAAAAGCCAGACGAGACCCATCAAAAGCGTTCTCGAAAGAAGCTATGTTGGGAACTGTGGCAGGCAGGGGGTTATCATGCCTGGGGCTAGCAGGCCGGGAAACGCATGTCTGGAGGAAGTCCATAATCCAGCCAGGTAAGAACTTCACTAACCCTGGTTTCTCTGTTGCCCTCTGGTACGCCTCTGCCAGGGCAGCCCTCTTTTGCTCCGCACTGGTTGCTCCTCTCCATTCACCATAGCTGCAAGCCAGCAAGTAGGTAAATTAATATAACTCCACTTCAAATGGATCATCTGCTGGGTCCATATGTGGTTGGTTCGTACTGTTACGGTTGAGTGAAGGAAGCAGGACCCAAATGCAGATAACTCTGATTAACCTTTATTTCAAGGATAATGAAAATAACTTGGACAAAACAGAACACTCACCGGTGAACTCAGTCACCAACAAAAGACGAACCAACACTGAACACAGGAAGAGACAAGACTAAATACAGGGAGGGGTAATCACAGGACGAGAAACAGCCGGGCAGGGGAG